TTTTTTTTTTATTAAAAACTGGACCCCAACAGGATTACCTAATTTTCGTGTATTTTAGTTGAATAAAATAAAGATAAAATCATCGTTTCCAATGAATAAAAAATAAAAAATTGTACATAAACTCCTCGAGGCCAAAAATACTCTGATTTCTATTTCATAAGAGACACGTACTTCGGAGCGTGCCGTATTATTTAACACATAAAATAAAATTAACAAGGCACGTCTAAAAATAGTTCGAATGGCACCGTCGAGGTAAGGAATCGCGCTCGTTCTTTACGCAAATTCTGAATAATTAACAAGTTTCGAGTGACAATGACGATTTTGGCCGATGTGCATCATTGGCTGATGATATCATCATACTATTATGTAAGTCATGCGCTTGTATGGGTATAATTCGCGAGTCATGCATTGTTGCATTCAACGACAACAAAAACACGTGAATTCTTCTCGCGTACGTACTCGGATGTTATCCGTATGCCAGCTGTAGAATTAAAAAAAAAAAAAAAGTTCACAAGAGCACACACGAGATAATCTAAAGCGTTTTTTTGCGTTGACTACTGTTTGTTTATTGACATGCCTAAGGCAAAAAATCGAGCAAAAAATTATTGAAATAACGATGATTATACATTAATTTTTTTTTTCATGTAAATATCAGTTGTGTATTTTTTTCCCAGCGTGAATTTCCGAACATTCATTAAAAAGTTGAGTACTTCCTTAACATCGCAGAATTAATAGAAATTTTATTTTCTATATTATGTCCCAGCAAAACCGAAAAGTCAGCTGTTTATTTGGTTTAAAATTTTGTCACCCATTAAAAATATGCTCACTTTTAATGTAGCTTTCCTCGATCCCATCTAGCTTCATGATGACGATGCGGGCGCACACACCGAACGACCGGGGTTTTAAACCGATTTTTTCCCCCTCAGTTATGAATTGTACGGTCAATCAACAATAACGTCAATCAAAGGAAGGAACAAAAAATATTAAAAAATGATCAACTAGCAATACATTTTTTCGTCTATGTTTCAACACTGGGTGTTTCACAGCAAAAACCGCCACTTTGCGAAAAATGGAGCTAGCAAAAATAAACCCTGCCAAGAAGAAACTCTCTGGGAGATGGAGGCATCAAACAAGAAAAGTTTGTCTGGCACTTTTTTTTTTTTTTTTGGTCAACAACAACACATCAGTATAAAGTTCTAGAGCACAAAACGAGCGCAAAAACAATATGCGCACGCGCTCGCACGAAAATAGACGACGACGGCACCCACGAGCTCTGCCAAACGACTTGGAAGAAAGAAGATGTCGCGAAGAAGAGAAGAAGAAATCGAGAGTCGTCGTCTCAAGAGAGCGAGAACCGCGTAGCCAGTAGCCACGGCGTACTAAAGAGTCGAAAAGAACGAGCGAGCGGGTCAGGTATGTGCACGGCGAGAAAAAGCTCGAACGAGAGGGAGAGCGTTATTAGGTATGTTGACTACTCGGCGAGGGCCGACTCGCTCTCCCTGAGTTTTTGCATGCCACCGGTGTGGTGGGAGCGCGCGCGATTGCTGCAGCGAGACTATGTACTACTTATTCGTTCCTTTTCGCCGTTTCTCATTCTTTATTTACGCCTCTCTATTATCGGCAACCTCCGCTCTACCGAAATATTTTTTTTCTCTGGCCTATACTATTTTACTATTTTTACGTTTCTTAGGGATAAAAAAATACGATTCTGATTTTTTCAAGCTGGATTCCTTTCAGTAAATCAAAACATTTTTTTAAAGATTTTTAGTGAGTTTAACAGCCCATTTTCGACAATGCAAATTAATTTGTACGTATTTTTAGCAATTTTTGAAATAATTCATTTTTCGAAAATTTTTAATCGATATCATTATGATTTTTATAGGGGCGACGCTTCATGGCTG